AGTGCGCCACCGGGCCGGCCCATTACTGTCCCATTTTAAAGAGAAGGGAAATGAGGCTCCTGAGGGCTTAAAAGACCAGTCCAAGTCATTGCAAAGACCAAGTTTTATGTTATTTCTGGTTATTTTCTTAGGATATGTTTCTAAAGATGGAATTGCTGGGTCAGGCTCTTTTAAAACACTTTGGGTATATGTTTCTACCTGCCCCTTAGAAAGGTTACCCAATTTATACTTTTGTCAACAGTGTACAAGAGTGTCTATTTCTCCTCAGCATCACCAGTCAATCTTTTTATATTTGAGAATCTGGTAGGCAAGAAATAATATCCAGGTTCCATTTGTTTATTTGATTAGTAGTTAAATGGAACAGCTTTTGATGTGTTCACCAGCCATTTGCATTTCTTCTTTTGTGAACTAACTGTAACCTATTTTTTGTTCATCTTTTCCTTGCAGACTTTTAAGAGATCTGGATATAGTAATTTTTCTGTATACATACATTTTTCCAATGTAATTTATATCGCAAAATTTTCCCTGATTTGTCTTTAAGCTTTTGTTTCTGATGGTGATTTTTTTGATATTAAAAGGGATTATTCTAAAAGGCAATCGAAGAAAATGCTCATGTTGTAATACTAAGTGAAAGCAAAAACAAAAGCGATCTATTTTACAAAAGGATATCTGCTAGAACGTTGGTTACAGCTGGAAACAAGAACGGAAATCACAACTGGCTCTGATACCAGAACCAGCCAGCAGAGGGAGCTACGAAGCCACCGCCGCCTTCATCCTGATACTGCCAAGTAGGGAGATATTTCCCAGGCCTCTGAGGTGGGCCTTGGCTTCTCTCCTCCCCGCTTTACATCCCATCAGTTGCGACCCAGCCTCAGCTCTGCCACCTCCCAAATGCCCCTGGAGCTCATCTCTCTTGTTGCATCCCCAGGGCATTGACATGTAAGAGCCAACCAACATCGTGGGCCTCTTTGCAACATTCCTGCCTTCTTTGGTATTGTGAGCCAACCCCCTCCCCCGTCTCAGCCAGAGAGGCCTTCCTGAGGCACTGATCAGACCATGCACCTCTCCTGCTTTAGACCCTCCCCCAGTCCCTACACCTCTCCTGGACTGCACCTCACAGTCTATGCCCGGGCCACCCTGAGCTGCTGTTGCCTGTCCATTTGCATCCGCTACCATCCAATGCCCTCCTCCTAGGCTGGCTGACTCCTGTCCCCCTTTCGGGCCTTAGCTGAGGCATCCCCTCTTCCATGAATTCATCTTGGCCTTCCCCCACCCCTACCAGTTTCCTTCTTTGGGGTCCCAGGCCCATTTACGCCCCGATCAAAACACCCATGCTACTGCCTGGTTATGCATCCGTCCCCCTCTGTGAGGACAGCAGCTGGATTCTGTTCCTTCTTCTGCCCTCAGGTCTGGATGCAGTGCCAGGCACACAGTAGGTGCTCAGCAAATGTACCTGGAGTGCAGGAATGAAGCATGTGGCTGGGGGAGAGAACAGGGCTTTTTGGGGCCCTCTTGTTCCCAGGGGCCCGCTGGGGACTGGACAGTTTTTGCTGGTGACCATGTGGGGCACCCTCAGCCCTCCTTGGTCTCCAGGAGCCCCAGGATGACAGGCGGGTCTGCTTCTTGTGAGAGGCACCTCTCCAAACCCCAGTAGGCCTGAGGAGATACTTGCTGGGCCCAGGCAGTAGGGCTCCATTCCCACCTTCTGTGGTTCATGAGCAGCTCCCGGTGCAGCTCCTGGTGACTCCGGGAGGCCTTCACAGGGTTTATTAGCTTCTTGGGCTTGATGAGCTCCGGATTCCACTCTCTGTACTCTGGCCGGGCCATCAGGCCCCCAATGTCCGCCCGCTCCCTCTGGATCTCTGAATACATTGAGGCTGTGGAGATGGACAGAGGAGTTGGTCAGAGCTGGGCCTACAATCCCACCCGTCTCCATGCACAGTTAAAAGCAAGGGTTTTCATGTCAGGTGGACCTTGGCTACCTGCCACTGTGTAGCCATGGGCAAGCTACTTCTGTCTTTCTGAGCCTTAGTTTTCCCCTCTGTAAAACGGAAATAATAATTGAACCTATGCACAGAGTTATAAGGATTGGAGATGGTGTTTGTAAAGTGTTTGGGTAGAGAAGGAAGTGATACTGAGTCACAAGATATGAGTTGACACATGCACACGTTTTTGGCCTGACTTTGAAAAAAACAATTTTCCCCTACTATTAAAGGAATTATGTTTATTTCTGTTTTTAATGAGCTTGTACCAGAAAAAGAAAAAATATTCAAAAAGAGTAATATATGCTTGTTAAAGATAATTTAGAGAAATGCAGTGATAAAAAGAAAACATCACCCCTTGTTGTCCAACTTCCCTATCCATAGTTTCATGTTTTCTTGTGGAAATATCCATATTTTCACTTTCTCCACATCAAAAAGGACAGTATGAAATCTGGGGACAACTGTGTCCCTAATTAGAAAGGGAGGGTTGTCATCTTTTTTTTTTTTTTTTTTTTTTTTTTTTTT